ACTATTTGGTGACATCCAAGGACACCTGTGCCCTTTTTCTGGGCGAATGAACCCATAGGTACAGCACCTATGATCCTCCCTTTCTGAGCAAGGAAGTTACAGTGTTCCTGCTGTTTTCTGAAAATGGCTGGAAATAATTAGGGTCAGACAGAAAGCCAAACAATTCCCAACCTCACCAAGTAAAGCAGTGTGTGTGATTATTAATGTTTAGTTCCCTTTGGGAAAAGATATCAAGTGATATCTATGATGCTAGTATCCCGTGTCTCAAGCATTCATCAGATTAGATCAAAGTATCATAGGAAATGTTTTATTAAGGTTTCTTAGCAAAAGGAAGAGTCCCTGATAGAGAAAACCTTGACTTCTAGTGTTGATAAACATTCTGCTTTTTAAGTGACCAGAAAAACAGAACTTTAATCTAATTTTTATTCTCAAATTAGGATCTATGTGTCCTCCTGGGTTATGTGTGGTATGTGAATTGGTAAGCACACAAAACTACATGATAAACATAACACTTTCCCAAAACTTCAGTTTTCCTCAATGGACATTGAAAAATGGGGGAAAATATTAATTTTTTTTCCTTAGTGAAACTACATACCACAGAATGAAAAATAAAAAGAGAGAAAACGATGACTATACGCTACAGGGAGCGAATCCCTCAAAAGTAAACTAATGGTTCTCTTACATATTCTGCAGATCTACTCATAATTACTATCTCACCAAGCCCATTCGCAGAGAAATACAATTTCATTACTAAGATAAATTGTTAGCTCAGTGAATCTCAAGTCTCACCACTCTTACGTCCAACTTATATTTATTAGAAACCAAGATGGCAACTTTTCCATAGTTTCTAAAGATGTCCTCAAGAACACTGTTTCCGTGCTCTTCCTTATTGAATTTAGGGTGAGAAAACTGGTCATATGTCCTTTTAATGATCTCCAAGACCTGCTACTCTTCAAATTAAAAATAACTGCCCATGTAGAAGCTGGGATTAAAACAAACAAAATACTTTTTCTTTTAGCTAGATGAGCTTAAACATTTAGATATTAGGATATGAGGTTCCAAAGAATGAATTCCAAAGAGTATGGTCACAGAATAGTTCTAACTTTCTAATATTACTCAGGGATTGGAGTAGGGAATTAATGGGTGCTCATAGGTACCTGTCACACAGGGTTTTGTTAGGTTTCAGATTTAACAATTAAAATAAAATTGTTATTTCTCTTGAAATTATAAGCCCATGAGGAAAGTAGTACATGTGTGTGACAGAGGACAAGGCGCATGTTTCTATTTACTTGCAATTTGGGCTATAATTTCTCCAGAAATCTTCAGGATTTTAAATCTTCCCACTCTCCAAATACTGTCATTGGTCACTGTACATGTTAGACACTACGCTTGATAAATACTAGCTATCCTATATAATAAAGGGCTAATATGCAAATCGACCAAATGGCAGAATGACCGGTCACTATAACATGTACTGACCACCAGGGGGCAGATGCTCAATGCAGGAGCTGCCTCTCGTGGTCAGTGCGCTCCCACAGGGGAGCGCCACTCAGCCAGAAGCTGGGCTCACAGCTGGCGAGTGCAGTGGTGGTGGTGGGAGCCTCTCCCACCTCCGTGGCAGTAAGACATCCCCAGGGGCTCCCAGACTGAGAGAGGGTGCAGCCTGAGCTGAGGGACCCCCACCCCTCGAGTGCATGAATTTCGTGCTTTGGGCCTCTAGTATATAATATTCTGCTTAATTGTTCATCTCCTAGGCAGAAAGTAAAATGATCATTGCAAGAATTTTTTAAAAAAATATATTTTATTGATTTTTTACAGAGAGGAAGGGAGAGAGAAAGAGAGTCAGAAACATCGATGAGAGAGAAACATCGATCAGCTGCCTCCTGCACATCTCCTACTGGGGATGTGCCCGCAACCCAGGTACATGCCCCCGACCGGAACCGAACCTGGGACCCCTCAGTCCGCAGGCCGACGCTCTATCCACTGAGCCAAACCGGTTTTGGCTCTTTTCTTTTTTTTTTAAATGCTGTGCACTGAGATGGTTTTTTTAAAGTACATTTTTATTGATTTCAGAGATGAAGGGAGAGGGAGAAAGAGAGAAACATCTCTGATGAGAGAGAATCACTGATCAGCTGCCTCCTATATGTCCCCCACTGGGAACTGAGCCCGAAACCTGTGCCCTTGACTAGAATCAAACCTGGATGCTTCAGTCAGCAGGCCGGTGCTCTAGCCACTGAGCCAAACCAGCTAGGGCAAGAATTTCAATCTAGAATGAAAAATGGACTTTATTTTAGCTAAAATGTACTGTTTTACATTTGGGCTCATTAAATCTTTGTCAGGGTTAAGTACACCTGTGTTTGAACATATCTGACTTTAACTGTATGTATGTATGGGAGGAGGGGAGCTCATGATCTTTTTTTTTCTGTGTGTGTGTGTATGGGTAGACCTCTCTGGGAAGTCTATTTAATCCCTCCAATCTACCTACTACCCTCATCTGAAATAGACTCCTGAAACGGTGATTTAATGCTTGCCCTTTAGAAACTTATTATACTGCCTACCAGGTAATATACAGAGTTGAGGAAGCAAGCATAGATGGCAGAAAAATAGATGGGAAGTAAGGATGGTCAGTTCAGTGGGAATGAGAGCCAGTCTTATCCTAGTGATGGGACCACTCCCAACCTGGGCCTGCAGGTGAAGGGTTACTCATGGCTCCTCGCACTTCTAGGCTACAGGGCAAGCTAGTGGGACATGCAGCTTTCTTGTTAGCAACAAGATGGATGAATAGTACTAGAGGCACAGTGAGTATGTATGTGGGCAGCGCTGTTACCCTAAAAATAGAATTTAATTCAGTTAAGTTTAATTGAGGTTATCTAGCCCATGCAAGGCTCTGTATTTAGCTGCTGAGCAGACATGAAAATGGAAAGCCTGGAAAAGACACAAGTAGAAGGATTTCTCAAATTTTCACACATCACACACACTATATTTTGGATCATTTTGAGAGGAAGCCATGCAAGGCTAGGGAAGACAGGGTCTTAGAAAAAAGGAGAGCAAAATGAACAAAATGGTAAACCACCTGAAGATTTCTTGAAGAAACCTCAAGAAGTTAATCTGAGTTTAAGATGACCAAATTATAAGCACTTTCTCTTAAGCCATTATTTGACATCTTAGTTTCTAAGAGCTGTCAAAAAAAAAAAAATCACAGAACTATGGCAATAATCTATATCGAAAGCAGGTTTATGTCAGATGCCAGAACATTCCTAGAAGGAGTTTCATGAAAAATACATAGGCCCACTTTTGGCTTCACTTATTTTACAAGGTCTCAAAGAACATAGCTCTGAGAAACGAATAACCTTGGGCACTGAGCTAGGCTCTGTGTGAAGGAGCTGTGGGTCTCACGTCAGTCAGTTAACCTCTCAGGGTGTTAGTTTCCTTGTCTGTAAAACAAAGAGGCAACTAGATGATCTCAGGGCTCAGTCCTTTCATAAGAAAACAAATCTTCGAGATGTTGTCAAAGGTCACAGAGTTAGAGAGTGGAGAATCCAAGATTTAGGTCTAATCA